CTTCTCATCTGCTTGGGAGTCGTGACCTGTTTCTCTCACAAAACGAATGGCAACAAAACACAACCAACGACGTCAACAAGATTGTTGCATTGGCATCGGTTTCTTACTAATGCCTAGTACGATTGTTGCATTGCCCCCTTGGGGAAAAAAATCTTGGATCTGCCAGCCCTGAAATTATCCCTTAGCATCATCGACGTCAGTCATCAAAGCAATGAACATTCCCACAAAAATTCTTATAATGTTGTTAGTGCAAACAGAAGCAATGAGGTCACAAGATTCTTTGAGATAGCTTTCATCTCCTGGACAGCACTAATCCAGGAAGACCATCATATTGGTAAATATATGTTCTTCCTGTTGTTTATAAAGCATCAACATCCTTCACTATTTTTATCTTACTGATGGTAATCCAGGGTAAGAAAACCAAAGTATTCACATCAATTAGTTGCTAAAAAACAAATGGCTTTCTCCTATTGTGCTTAGCTACACATCTATGGGAAGGGAAGATTAGACACTATAAAAATAATCAACTGGATCAAGTAAATCTAGAATAGGCATATGAAGAGCAATTATTATGTATTATTAGTGCATTAGATGCAACCATTAGTTAGTCACTTTGTTGAATTTTCCTTTGGTTAAAGACGTTGCCTAGACCTTCTAGCTTCCAAGGTTTTCTTGTTGATTTGCAATAATTTTCTCCGCCTTCTTTTCCTCAGAAATATTTTAGTTCCTAATAGAAAACATAAGTTAGTGCGACCTTCTAGTAGTTTGTATTACCTTTCTCATAAAACCTTTTGTGTCCATACTTCTACGAGCATCATTCAATTCATTACTATACAATTTAATTTTGGGCAAATAGCACTAAATCCCCCTGAGGTTTGCAACTTTGACAAAAACTCCCCCTGAAGTTTATAAAGTAACACTTTCTACCCCTCCTTATTAGTTCTCAATCTAATAGGGTCACATGATACTTATGTGACCCCTTAATGACCAAAATACCCTCTAGAGTTTTTCAAAAAATTATCTCCAGCATATTTCATCTTCTAGTTTTTTTTAATCCATTTTGTAGTTGTCATCAAAAAACTATTGAGCTAAGAATAAAATTTTACCTTTCACTGATTCTCTCCTTAAAATTTTCATCCAAGAAAACAAGACAAATTCATTTATTTTTATACTTTATGTATTTTAGAAGTTATAGGGTTTGAATTCCCTAAAATAATAAAAGAAAATAAAAAGAAAAAAAAACTAACTTTGCATTAAAAAAAGAAATGGAGAAGGAAAATCATGGTAAAGGGTATTTTGGTCCTTAAGTAGTCACATGAGTATCATGTGATCTATTACATTAAAAATAAATAGAGGTGGAGAAAGTATCACTTTCTAAACCTTAGGGGGGTTTGTTGTCAAAGTTGCAAACCTCAGGGTGTTATTTACCCTTTAATTTCCCTTTATACTTTATTTTTTCACTTTTACTAATTTCTGAAAGATAGAAAGTGAAGAATAGATATTTAAACAAATGTGTGCAAGTATATAGAATGGCACATCTTCAAATGTAGAATTGATGTCTGCATTCTATTTCAATGTGAACCACGTTACAATTCTTGGGGTCCAATGCCTGAAGATGTCGAACACATTTCTATAAACAGACATGCTATGAACTAACTACTTAAATAGAGCATATAAAAGGAACAAGCTGAATGTTGCATATCATGTCCTCAAGATATAGTTTTAATGATAACAATTTATTCACTATTTGTATTATTGTGCACTAACATATCAATGCAAATATCAACTTCAAATAAGCTCAAGATATGTGAACAAAAGTGCAAGATGAGCTCAATGCAATTTGAAGTAAAGAAGATGAAGTGCTTAAACATCACAATGTAAATTTTATATTTTCTTTACTTAGAGTTATTGTACAAGCCTTGATCACTCACAACACATGCACATGCATAGCGTTTAGAACACACTAACACATGCTTAGTTTGTGGTTAACAATAAAATCCCCTATGTTAACCATTAAAGTTTATAGATAAAGAATGAGTCTCAAATTAATTCATATATCTCATATTTACCCCTTAGTAGTCGACCAATAAAACTAGTAGTCGACTACTAAAGCCTTGGTCAAAATATCAGCTTCTGTCATTTTACAGTGTAGTCGACTAATATATATTATAGTCGATTAGTAAAGACTCAGACAGAATTCTAGTTTTTGTAAAATTACAGTGTAGTCGACTACTAGGAGTGATAGTCGACTACTAAGAGTCAGTTCAGAATTCTAGAACTTCTGTCTTTACAGTGTAGTCGACTAATGACTATAGTAGTCGACTACTAAGAAATAATCTAACTTTACAGAGTCTGTTTTGACTCAGTGTAGTTGACTACTAAGCATTGTAGTTTTTCGACTACAGATACAGTTTTTTTAGGTTTCAAAATTTGAATTTATGATTGTTTATAGCCGTTTGTGCACGTTATTTAGGTTTAAAAAGTTGTCTTTTCAAGGACTATAAATAGGTATTAAGTTCAGAAATTTGCACCATTCATTCATTCATACATATAAGATCAAGCATTTGTGCAAATTCAAGAGTTCAAAATTCAGATTTTCAGTCTAAGTGTTGAGAAAAAGTGATTTCTGAAATAGCCATTGATCTTCATCATATATTCAAAATGATTAGGCATTGTTCAGAGATTAAAAAGGTTCCTAAGCTACTGTTACACTTCACTACACATTCAAGGCTTATAGAAATTGTGTTCTTGCTTCAAGGAAAGTTCTTTCGGATGTGAGAGGTGATCTCTTGGTGTAGAGATTGTGTGCAAATTGCATGGTCTTACAAATTGATCAGGTTTATTTTTGATTTTGTAATAGTTTTTTAAAATCATAGTGGAACTCTCAAGTGGGATTTACTTGGGGACTGGATGTACACCGGGGAGGTGGAACCAGTATAAAAACTTGTGTTTATGATTGTGATTTTCTGTGATTGTTGCTATCTTTCTTGCAATTTATAATATACTTCGTAAAAAATTTAAAAGAATATTATTCAACCCCCCCCCCCCCCCCTCTAGTGTTTTAATGTGTATTAGATCAGATCCTATACTTGGCATCAGAGCACGGTGAAAGATAGCATTGACAAGTACATCAAATACATCACAATTCAAAGAAGAACATTTCACACAGCGATCACCACTCTTTGATGGCACAAATTACAACTATTAGAATTGTCGGATGAATATCTACCTCCAATTTCTTGGCTACGAACTTTGGAACATTGTAAAGACTGAATTT